TAAACTGTGTTTGAATATCTTTTTGTACCATATAAATGTAATAAAATTGAAAAAAAATGCAAGAAAAACGAATCATTAAAGTCTAAAAGAATCTCCTCCTTTGATTTGTTAGCATGAGAAGCAGACAAGTTATTTTGCAACAAATCAGGATGAAAATCATCCGAAACACACGAAGAAACACTTGTAAACAATAAACTGCCACTCTTGCAGGAATCCATTAATGCAGGATTATGATTAGACGAGCACGACGCCTTTACCAAATCTACATACAGCAATTGATAAATTTTAAAATGTGTATTTTTCATTACATCAGGGTAAGAAAATAAATAAAAAAAAGATTTCATTCACAGCAACATGCGGACACTGTAGTCCAACTCTAAAATAAATAAAATCCTGAAATCAAATTAACTTCTGACTAAAAATTAATAAATTTATTAGAAGTACCTGCTCCTAAACCAAGTAGATCAACATCATCATTAAAATTTTCTGGGATACTTTTATCCATAGTTTCAAACTGCTTTTGAAGATCAGATTTGTGATGATGAGAACTCATTCCCTCTTCAACAACAGATATTTTTATACCATCAGTTTGCTCACATAACTTGGCGATATCATTATTGCTAAATTTCTCATGTGGAAGTTGGTTTTGCAACTGAAAAATATCTTTCATAACTTTTTTAATCACTCTTCAAGTTATTAAATGAGTAAACTTGATAAACTAGAAGCAAATAAAATGAAAGCAATAGTACTGGTTAATAACCGCATGAATGATCTTAAAGTTCTTATTACAAGCAAGTCGTTCACTTATAGTGCATACGGATGGAATAAGTTCAGGTTGTTGTAGATTTTCTTCCCTGGCTTCTGCCACAAACACACATTGAGTATCTTTCATAGAGGTAGTGCCGTCATGCCAATCCAAAGTAGAGAAAAAAGAATCTTTTAAAGGAGTCACAATCGATGATTCTGTTTCTTTCTCTTTACATGTAATTCGCTTCTGTGGTGGAGGTGGTCTTTGTGGAGGGCTTTTTGATGATTTACAATGATGACAATCAATACAGCGCATTAATGAATCTACAAAATAATTTAAATGTCAAAATTCAAAATTTATAAATAAATAAAAAGTCAGTCAGAAACAATTTATACATCTAAAACAGTCATAGTCATAAGCCTACCAAATTCCTCACGTTGAGATGTTAGCAATACGTTCGGAATAGCTTCTGAATCATAACTAAGAAATGCTGGTAGCTTTTTTGTATCATAGCCTCTATCCCGTACATCTATTTCCATTTTAACACCAATTCTTTAAACGGAAGGAATGAAAAATCGAAATAATGCTTTAGAAATATTCATAGAATCATAGAAGTTTTACCAAAAAATAATAAATTTTCACTAACTCTTTAAAAAGGTTTCAGGCAATTTTTTCAGATAAAATAAATCAAAAACACAAAATTGCTTTTATTTCTGCATTTCATCTGACATTTTCAAAATTTTTAAATAGTGCACCTGAATTTTTTTGACTACAAAAGAATGAATCTCATCATGAACCAAAAAGAATGCCCAGATCTTGGAAAATTCTACTTACCTCATGCTTTCTCCGAATTTTGAATTATCATCAATTTGATAATCAATATCGCTGCGATTTAATTCTAGCAAATGTGTATTTGGATCAATAAAACTGGCATGGAAAGATAAAGAAAACATGAAAAGTTGTTGCATACGGTTTTGTATCTTTGACCACCTTGCGTGAAATACAATGATCTAGAACTCCTCAGTGACTCATTAAAAAATCATTTAAATACTGACTTTTTAAGTGATTTAATATTGTTAACGTCTAGAAATTAATTTTTTACTACTGATTTCTTGACATGATACTTTTATGTAACAATAGTTTGAAACACAAAATAATCAAGTAACTGATTGAATGCTGACCTGCACTTCCGCTTCTACTGCAATACTTTCTAACGAAAGTTCCAATACAGAAGAATTTGATACATCAAAAAGTCTGAAAAAATTAATGATTTGTAATGAAATATTAAGGAAAAAAAGTGAGTAATAATCTAAATTTTTTAACAGACATATCTGACAGAATCATATAGTCAAATATTATTAATAGAAGATTGCTATTGACTATTTAATGCCATATATCTTCAACATTATGGTTTGAGAAAACCTTAGTCCACAATATATTTTATTTTTAAGTTCCCATTATCAAAAGCAAAATTAAACTTTAAAATAATTATTCATAAGAGCAGATAATGATTTTTATATCCAAAAGTCGTTACATGAATTTTTTTTCTGCAAGTCACAATTTAAGCTAGAGATTTATTTTACACCTTTCCCACAGTAAATAAATACTAACAATCAAAAAGCGAAGGGCTAAAAAGTAAGACAGTTCCTAACTACAAACAAATATACTGCTAACTCATTGGAACCATTACTTTAATTCTTCGTAGTTTTTGTAAGTTGACCAAACTTTTCTCCCATCACAATACATATCAACAAATGGACGACAACCAGTTCGAGCTCGATTAAACAGTGGCACGGGAGAAATTGAAAGAGAGTGAAGTATTACTCGTCTATTATGAACTATCTAAAATTGAAAATTTCTGGCAATACATTTTCCTTCATGAAACAAAAAACTAATGATAAAACATAAGAATTTTCTAAACATCCGTGCTACATTACTTTCGCTTTTACATCCTGTAATTAAAACTTATGTTTCTGTTTTAAACGTATAATTGAAATCACATATCCATATTCAGTAGACACTACCAAAATATATAGGAATTACTAGCCTTAAAACAATCTTAATTAAATCAAAGGAATATAAATAATGGAAAAAATGAGATTTTGATTATTTCAACTGGTGGAAACTACTAATGAACTTACTATACGAAGACATCTTGATTCCAGAGAAACAACAGTACTGATTATATCAAGCTGTCGATAATAAGATGGTAGAAGTTTGTATGGTCGTCTTTTAGTAAAGATTAGTTCTAACGCTGACAAAGGTCTTGAAACAAGTCGAGTATAGAGTAAAAGAGCTGCTGATACCAACAAACACGAAGCTTAAGAAATTTGTTAAGTATCGCAATCGTATACACTGTGCATGCAAAATCTTTGGAAATAGCTCAGCTCGTCATGCTGATAATACTTTCAAAAATATTCTGTAGATCTTACCTTCGGAACCAGTAATAAAAATAATATTAGTTTTCTTTTCTTTCAAGAATATAGTCATATTTCTGCACAAATTTAACAAAACGTTTACTGTAGGCGTCAGACCACTTCCAACAGTCGGCAACGGTGTTTCTACTACATGAAAACCATAATCACAACGCAAATGCCTAAATAATAATAGTTATTTTTTGATAAGCTCGTGGGTTATCAAATGTGTTTCGAAGATTATCAAGTGTTTTTCTGCAAAGAAATGGAAATAACTGTAGAAAATTACTGAAGTTTTGACCATATAAAGTTAAACACATCAATATATGTGTACATTTCTAAATTAGCTTATTAAACTAAAAAAGTCAACAGTATATAAAAAGCATAAAATTTACAAACAGTAAAATCTGTATCCAAGATATATTATGCAGTGATATCACGACATACAAGACTACTTATCATATTACAATTATTTTTTGAACAAAAAATTTCTTACTAATTGCAATTTCTATTCCCAGACAAAAACCAACCGATTTGACAAATTATAAACACCCAAATGACCACGAGTTTGATTCATAACATAATCCCACACTATTTCCTCAGCATGACAAATCAGTGATTCGGGGACAGCATCAAACAGTGGTGCCATAACTAGACGTGAAGTGACAAAAGTTACATCTGGACCTCGATGACCATATGTGGACTGAAATTACAAACTGCCACAAACTAATAATTACTGAACTCATAAGAAATTTTGTTTCATGACACAGAAAGCTCTCATAGGAACAAAATTTCTTCCACGTGGATAAACATAACTGTTTAGATGCATTGATTTAATAATATACACAAATCATATAATGAAATGAGTAGAGTCTCATTAACTTGGAAATTTTAGAAAATAATAGTGACGAGAAATAGACGTACTTGAACTGTCTGAGCAACAGCAGTTGTTTTATCCTTGATATTTTTGAGCCATAACATGCTCTGTCCTTTGAAGGCACCAAACATAGCAGATGCTTGCTGCGCAGTTTGTTCCTGATAATTCAAAGCATTATATTAGTCTGACTTAGCAATCAATAAATAATCAAGAAGGCCCATAATTCAAATTAGAAAATAAATTACTGCTGAAAAACAAGTGGATTATAAATTATTCTTCGCATTTGTAAAACGCACATAATCGATTTTACGTGACAATGAAGGTGATAATTTTGATATACTTGAAGACCTTTCACGTTCATTTCTATGGGATTCTGTTAACAATTGGCCTAAAGTACAGTAAAATCAAACTATCAGTAAATGAGATAATTTAACTTGGATATTTGAATTTCAGCAAAAATAGAATGATTAAAATTCTCATATATACGCTACAGTTGCCGTCATATAAAAGTTAATACTCTTTTTGTTTGTCTATAGTATGGAAGTAAAATGTGAAAAACAATGATGGCCCTATGTTTCCGAAGTTAGTAAGAAGCGTTTTCATAAAATCATGAAAAATATATTAATACGTCACATATCACAAAAGCTTGGTACCATGATTTGAACTGACTGGTGATAATAAAGGCAATTGCAAATTTTCTATCGGCTTTGAAAGATCTACAGCTAGAGTCACTGCAAGTTTTTCAATTCGCTCACACAAATCATTTATTAATGGTCGTTCCCTGGGATCAACTTTAAGCGTTTTTTCTGAAAAAAACAAAAATGAAAAGCTAGAGCAAATAATTAAATGCTCTTTTTCTGAATCACATTGAAATAAAACTACCAAGTAGACCAGATAAGAAGTCTCAAAGTCGTTACTAATACTTCATATGACGACAAAAGCAATCGAAGCCAATAGGAGTTACATTCACATATTTTTAAATTCATACAAAAGTTGTGAGTTTGATTAAGACTTAAATCCAATTTTACTTTTTTAATTCAAATTTGTTCTTGTATTTACGTAATCTCACCAGCTAAAAAAGCACAAGACATTGTAGTAACGAACAATGCTTTAAAAAGTTTCAAAGTTAGTCCATTTTAGAAAAAATCAGTAACTCTGGAAACTAAGAATTAAATATGAACTTGAAATTTACGGATAAGCTGATGCATGATGGTGAATTCGGTTTCTGAATTGGGAAGTGAATATTTTGCATTTATAATACGAAGCTTAGCACTGTCTTCAAAAGGATGCTTTCTATAGCATAAATAATACAATACACATCCAAGGGCCTAAAATCTTCTTACTTACGAGAAGGATTTTAAGAAACTATAACCCTTAAATGATATCTATAAACTAATAAAGCAGGATCGAAGTTTTGGTAATAATGATGAGACAACAGCACCTGATCTAGAAATTCAAGTTCTCATATGTAAGCAAAAGATAAGAGTTCACATATTTTCAGAGCCAAATACAAAAGTCTTTAATCAAAAATTGGTTTTTGTGACATGGCTTTTTTAAAAGAAACGCTTTTAGTCACTAACCCAAATATCCAAAGCTGGGCCAACAGGGAAATTCGAGTACGTGTCTAGTAGTTCAGGGGCTCTATACATTGGTGTTGTATGTCTTGCAAACTAAAGGTTGAAAAAACTTGAGACGATATACCAAAAGCAAGATAAGATTTTTTAAAAAGCGCGCTTCGAATAGCAATAAATTTCTTATACCTAAGAAGTAAATCATTGAAAACTTTCAAGTAATATAATATGAAACGACAGAAAATAGGTATCTGAAGCCTTAATGAAAAACAAAAACCTCTTCTTCAAGCTGTGTTCTTTTAGAAACCGACCATGTTTCGTCTGGTAATATGATTTCAGTAGTTGCACTTCCGAAATCACACAATTTTACATTTCCAAAAGCATCAAAAAGTAGGTTTTCCACCTGCATTGCATAATTAATTGGTTCAGAAAATAAATGTGGATTATTGCTTATTTAACCACAAACAAATACGCTTTTTTCATAATTTCAGCACATACCACGGCAATAATTTAGTGTTAAGAATTTGCCTTTTTTAAGATGTTAAATGCAACGATTTTTTTGATATCAAAAAAATTAAATAAATAACATTTTGCTTTAAATAATTTGGACCAAAAAAAATCTTATATTTATTTAAAAAAGTTCATTAAAAACCTTCATATCCCTGTGTGTGATAGGTGGCTTTTTTGAGTGCATTTGCTTTATAGCAATGCAAGCCGCATAAAAAATTTTTGTTACTTGGCTAAGTGATAAGGGACCTTTTTGAATGAGATTAATGACACTTCCTGAAATAAGAAACGCAATTAAACGAACACTCGCCTAGTTCATTAAGAATATTTTCTTTATATGTGAAACAAAAGTGACTGTTTCTGAAAATTCTTTCCTTCTAGAGCAAAAATACTTAATTCAACTTCAGATTTTGAAAACTCAAGCCATATTTATCCGAAAATCTCTATTATTAGTTTTTTAGTGAAGCTGAAAATTACTTTACATATCTGCTTAATTGGAATTTTTTCAATATAAAATCAAAAAAACAACTTTCAGACTAGATTATTAAAATCAGCAAATTGAAAGTTGTAATACTAATCAGAGTTGCATAAAAATGCAGATAAATAATGGACAAGAATTAACCTGGGCACAGTTCAGTTAAAAGAAGAAATTCTGCACGACCATGACCACTTTCTTGAGGGCTCAATCGTGCTGCTTGCACAAAATGTAAAATAGCTGGAAGATCACTCAACTGAAAATTAATTCGTCTAGATTTTTTAATGATCAATGGAATGAATAATGCTTAAACTTTAAAGCGTTCTCCTTGTCTTGATACTATTGCTTACTTAGTCATCCAAGTAGCCTATAATAACCTACTAAAATAATAAGAATCCCGGCTATATACATGTATTAACAACATTGAAAACTAGAGTAACCTGATTTCCTAAAGTCTTTTAAGCTTACAACTATCGCATGAAACCTGTTTTAACTTAAAGTTGACAACAGTATGAAAAAGAAGCGATAAAAAACACAAAAATTTAAAGAAAGATAAAAAGTGCTGCCTACTTCTTTCAAAAAACGAATTTCTTTCAATATCGTTTTAGCAGCATCTTGATCTGCAGCTAACTGACGTTTTAATGCAAACCAATTACCTTGCATATCTTGCGCGGAGAAAACTAATGCATAACCCCCTGTAATATTGTAAAACACAATATATTTGAAACTTTCGCATCTAAAAACCAACTTAGTGTCATATTATTCTCTAATTAATATTAAAAGTATAGTTTGATAGAACGAATACAACAATATACTTTAGAAGCAAAGAGTACAGAATACTTATGAGTGAAAACTACGGAAAGACCACGTAATTTCTAAGATAACAAAACTGATTACCAAAATTCTTCAACAATTACAAAGTGAAGATAATTTAAGAGCAATACTTAATCTTAAAGCTAACAAAAAAGTTATACAAATGTTGACAATGAAATATGTTCCCATTTAATATTTCTGCTGTGAATATGTTTAGTTCTATGCTTGGCAGTCTGTTTCAATTAAATTCGTTATTTTACAAACATACGAAATTTACAACTACCAACAACACATCTCAAATATCTATACAACTGTAAATGATGTGAGTGTTGACGTTTTGAACAATCTGAACCTTACCTTTACTTTTATTTTCGCAAAATAAGTATACCTTCGGCAATAAGGGAACGAATTTTCAATTTTGTTCCATCGATGTCAACAGTTGTACCAACTAGTGGATGATCCGATCTACCGATAACTGTTGCATTAGTCGGAGTTGATGAAAGGTAATTAAACGCTGATCGAAACAATTCTGTCATTCTATAAAAAGTTTTTTACTTGACAAATTCCTTCCGAAATAAAACTATTGACTTGTTTTGTTTTAAGAATAATAACAAATAATATTATATCAAAACTAAATTCATTACTTAAAAAGTGATCCTCACCTAAATACGTTAGTATTTACAACCACTTCTTTCAAACGTCAACTTTACGTGACACCATGAATATTTTGTTCTGTTTGGCTATTCGAGCATCAACCTAATTGCTTTCTTTATACATATAGCAAAAGTTTGATTTTTAATTTAAGAGTTTTTAAAAAATATTTTTATATATATTTTAATGACACTATGGTAACATCTGTAGTGATAAGACACTATGATAACATTTGTAGTGATAAGGGAACTGAAGGAAATGCGCAATTTTGAAATTCACTTTATTTTTTGCTTAGTGAAATGAACTGAACAGGGTTCTGCTCAGAGACGTTCTCATGTCCAAATCATTTCGAAGGATTTGATAATTTCTATTCTTAACTGTAAAAGTGACTACAAGAAAGTTCTCATTACACTTGCTCATATAAATTTTCTGCAGCTATAATATTGATAGCAAAATTTATAATAGTGGTAAAAAGTGTTGCACTAAAAAAACCTTAAGATCTTAATAACGATAATTATTACTGATATTCGAAGATGTCTTAAGTTTTAGGTCATTTTCATATAGGTGGAACTGATAGTTGACCTCTTTGTTCTCAATTTGATAAGAACAAAAATTACAAATTTAGTTCGTTCATTCCATACTTGTCATTGTTTATTATTCCAACAGGAAGAAATCTTCAGATCTGTTTACTCTTTATCAAACAAAAGTACTACTTTTGCAAAAGTAAAGTATTATTGTTAAAAAGTCGTACTGTATCTCGATTTTACAGATGCTACGAAGAGCACCAACCGAAATTGTTGTCAAAATGGAAGAAATAGATGAAATGATAGCTGAAATGAACAACAGGGCTGGAAATGTATGCTTCATAATTATCAAATTATATAAATTTAAAATCGAAATTATTTTATTTCGTTTTTATTTTTTATTTTTATTTCTACAGTAACGGTTTTTGCATAATGTCATTTGCATTGAAGGCAACACAAGAAATAAATACAAATGCAGATACAATGGTTCGAACGCGAATCGGTGCACCACCACCCCGAATTCATATGACTCAAGCAAAAGATACTCAGGGTGAACTACCAAATTCTTCAGACAGTACTTCTGTTACTACTTTGTAAGAGTACTTTCCTGGATGATAGCTCATAAAATATCTTGAAAAAATTACATCATTGGGCGGTTTTTTAACTTTTACTTCAGTGCAAAGTTCACTCACAAATATGAATATTTCTTGTATTATTTAGATGTGTACAATAAAGTTGCAAAGCGAAACGCGCCTCCTCAGCACTGTATTTGTTTGAAGTTTAATACTTCACATCTACTTTTTTTTTTGCTTTTCTTCAGTACTATTTTTCCACATCTTAACCTCAGCTATATTAACATGTGAGAAGATAGCTATATTAGCACTGCAAATTAGGTGAAATATCTCTTCACATCACTTCCATTTAGATTGTCTCGTATGCATTTCAAGATTTCTGCTCTGAAGACATCTTTTTCCAGTCTCGGAAACAAGTCTTTAATACTTGGTATGTCAAGCTTAATGCACTGCAAAACCCTTCATTATAACTTCTTGCTCGCATTCTTCGCATGCTGATTTTAGAATTATTTACTGAATCAAGCCTCACTACACTCCCCAAAATTGTGTTTACCTTTCTAATTCTTATTACCATACAAACTATATTAATCTTGTCTACACTAATGTAATTGTGTTTGAATGAGAAACGATGACACCATGCGGTCTAATTACATTGATATCGCTGCATTAGGCAGTTATTTTGCAACGCGCTAAAGTTCATGAGTGGAACCTTATCCATTTTTCATACAAATTTTTGATGAAGTGAAATTATAAAGCTGAATAAATTATGATCATCATAGAAAAGGATATTAACGTAAAATGGCATATTTTTATGCTGTCTGATATAACTTTTTCTCAAATGCTAGCAAACATCATTAAAAGGCAACAAACAAAAAGGATATGAGTGTTTAGTTCATATAAATGACAATCAAATCAAGGACTCTCGTCCTCACTATATCTGCTATCGTAAAAGTGTAGCTTCTCCAGGTATCCTGTGAACTCGTCCCCATCACTGTATAAATCTTTGAAATCATCTATATCGGAATCAACCTGAAATAGATTCCAAGCATAAGTGTCGATGGTATGGAAAAGCAAATAGAGCCAAGTCATCAGCACTTAATATAAGACAATAAGTAGTGAGTTCACATTGCCATACCTCAGGTTCATCAGGATAATCATTACGCCAATTAAATTCATCATTCGAATCATCATCATCATCTTCGTCACTGTCATACAGCTCACTATAATCCATCAACAAGTCTTCCCTGTTTGCTATACGGACCTGAAGAACAAGAAAGCAAAATACCGCTTTGAGGAATTTTTGGCACATATTTTTCTAAAAACATCAAATAAAAGTAGGAAAATCAATTACATTTTTTATTTCATTAGCCACGCAACCATCTGCCTTGGAACTCCAATAATAATCGAAAGTAAAGTCCTAAAAATATTGGTTCAATTAGTATCGTGAGCAACAGCAACACGACTACTTTTTATAATACAAGAACCAGACCTTAATAAATAGTTTCTGAAATATATTTAACATTACAACTGCATCTAATTCTGAATTCACTTCCACAAATTTCGATTTTTAATAGCATTATTAGCTAAGAGCGTACTTATACTATGAACTAATAAGAAACATTCACTTCGCCAGAGTCAACATTTATTACATTCATTGGGACTCCATTTAGCGTTATCTTGGAAACTTGGGCTTCTCTTGAATTCTGAGAAAACCCTTGTTCACTAGACGCAGTAGAACATGGTGCATCTTTCATCAAATCTAGAAAACTGTTAGAATCATCATCAATATTACGTCCTGTTTCTTTACCATTCTGTGAATCTAAACTCATAACGTCCACATCACTGAGACTCGGATCAACGTCAATAATATTACACTGTGGTGATTCCTGAAAGTGACCAGCCTTAAATAGTGAGAAGAAAATTATTTTTTGATGAAACTGTTAGCAAACATGGTTTCCTTAACTGACAGCGTAAAACTGTTCAAACAGTAGAAACAAAGAAAAGCAGAACACTCTAAACGATATATGAAACTTCTGGAACAACGATAAAAGGTCAAAATAAAAACAGGTCGAAGGGGGTCAATGATATCGCATAAAGTTATGAATTCCTGAAGATCGCCGTGCCCATTAATTTTCTATGATCACTGAATGAAATTACAAGCAAGATTTAAAATCATTTTTTTGAAAAGAAAAACAATTTAACTTGTAATAATTACACATAAACAAACGTTTAAATCTGATGACGAAGCTCGAAAACATATTATTGGCTCTTCAAGCACTTTTCTTGAGCGTTTTAATGAAATAATTAAAGCTTCATGTGGATCCGCAATTCGCTTTCGTTTGACACGAAATACAGTAGAGGATGGTGAAATACTTGGAATTAAATAACGATTTTGTAACTGATCAGTTGCAGACATTATTGAAGTCAGAAAAAATATAAAATGTAAAGTTATTTTTACTTATAGGTAAAATCTATTCGTTTGCCTCACGTCGTTCTTTGATTGCTTCCTAAAAAAACGCGCAATTGAAATCCATCACAGTAATTAATTTTCACTATCGTAAAAATTATATTCACCATTAAACAATCATGAACAAAGACATAAAATTATTTTACAGAGTGATGCAATTTGACGACGCTTAAACTACAATAAATGGATAAAACAGCATTTGCGAGTTAGTAATGATTTTTGTCGATAATCTAAATTGAGAAACTTTTATCATTAATGGCTTTTTTCGATAACGTGATAACAAGCAAACGCACTGCCATTTCTAACAGAACTTTAAAGTTTTACGTACTCGAAATCGTTCTTCAAACAATGACAATTCGGCCATCAAATCTGTGATAGCGCTAGTAAGGGCATCCGCCGGAGTTGTGTCCGACGTTGTTTGTACTCGCAGAACAAATTTGTGCTCTAATGGATGTGGACACTTGTAACCAGCAAATAGCACTTGGGGATCTTTCAATAACTGACTAAAAAAATACACTTAAAACAAAAGCATCTTTGAAAGCAATATAATTTCTAATGAATAACGTCAAAAACCAAGTAATTTACATCACTTATCAACTGCACTAAAGATGTAAATAAATTATTACGTCGCTATCCTTCATTATACAAAGGTAAAACTATAAATCAGAAACTTCAAGAGAGAAATTAAAACCATGAAAATACAAATGTGTTTACTAATGATATAGTAAAAGTCAAAACAATAAGTAACTAATTACAGCAAAGACAACGACCTTAAGCTGAAAATGAATAGAGTAAACATTGATTTAATTCTGATTAATATAAAAGCTGAATGAGATCAGAAAAATTCAATAAATTCAAGGAAAAATCATCTAAATTCATGATCTATTGAAATTAAGAACAGCAACTCACAACCTTTGATAAGGAAAAAAAGCAAAAAACTAAAAAAGTGGAAGGAAACATACTTCTTAAGAAGATTGCCAACAGTGTGGTCTTCTTTATTTACAGTAAATACCGCTGCGTTAGGTACTTTGGTATCTTTTTCAACAACTATTTTTTTCTCTCCGTCGAATACAAGAAATGATTCAAATGCTGCAGGAGCATTCATAAACCAAACTAAACATCTATTACTGTTGAAAAATTACTTCTAACATAAATCCAGAATAGTGTAGAAATTGTATGAAATCACGATTAGTCAGAATTCAGCACACAATCAAAAATTTCAAGCAATAAAACTACTGCAACCAGCCTAAAATCTTAATACATTCCCAGGAACCAAACACAGACTTCAGAAATCCAAATAACAAACCTCACTAAACCCCAACCCTAACCTCCCATCTAACGACGAACAATTCAGACCAAATATTTCAACGGTAGAACTCGAAATGAAAATTGAGATCCAAAGTACCAGAAAATCCTGTTTGTTGCCATAATCTTAAATATAAAAATGAAAAAGCTTTTTTCCCTCTACAAAAATGATTTACTTCTTCGAAATATATACACTATTATTTTTTCTAAAAGCTTTGCAGAAAATTTTCCGCAAAAAATATTATAAAAATATATCAGATTTAAAAATTTCAAAAAATATACATTGTTATAAAAGAATATATGTCTTAATTTGTTAATTAAAAACTGATAGTGACTGATGCTAATCTTTTTGCTTAATGCATTGTTTTGTCAGCATTTTTGATGATTGGTGACATCTGAAGGTGCTTTTTGTAGATTACTGCTTTGAATGATTTCTAGAGTTTTGAAGTCTTAGCTCATTGACAAGTTCTAAAAAAATTTTTCAAAATCATACTCGAGTAAATTTGAATTAAATTCAAGTAAACTGTTTTTTAAGAAAAGTTTAACAAAGATGGCAAATTTCAAATTACACGAAATAAAAAGAAATTTCATTTTTTTTAAGCTATATTGGTTTTGCGAATCTTTTTTAAAAAACTTTTGTTTTTCACAAATTTTATCTCTCAAAAACTTTGCGAAATAAAATTTGTGAAAAAAATTTTCAAATTTGATGAATATTTTTAAATTGTTTTGCAGAAAATTTGTAAAATTTGTAATTTTGACTAAAAAAATTTGTAGTTTTAAATTAAAAAATTTAAAATTTTGGAAGAAAAAATTTGTAATTTTGAAAAAAATTAAGTTTTTTACTAATTTTATTTCCCAAAAACTTTGCGAAATAAAATTTTTAAAAAACTTAATTTTTTTGAAAATTATTGAATTAAAATTTTTTAAGTTTTTAATATTTTGCCACAATAATTATGCAAATTTGGCTTCAAAAATTGTTTTTGCAGCTATTTCACACTTAAATTACCAAATTTTTTTTTTACTATCAAAAAAATTATAGAATGCTTTTCTAAAAGCTTTCTTTGTTGAAAAGATTTGTTATCATTTACGTTTTTAAATTTAGCATTTGATTAAAAAAAATGCTTGAAGGCCAGTAATAAAAGCCAATCAAAATAATGCTTAAAGGAGGTGGTACTTGTCACAAGGAAATATTTGCGATACGGTAAGAGAGTTTGCTAGGATAGATCCAGAAAATAAAGCTAAGCTAAGCTTGATGCTTTTCGATACTTCCTGCTCATCATCATTATCTCAATCATCTTCACCATCATTATTGTCATTATCACTATCATCATCTTCATCATCACCATCATCGCCATCAACGTTTTTTTTTACAAAAGCTGCACAAACTCGTGCTAATATTTCAGCCATGCAAAGGTTATTTCCATGTTTTGCATAAAATTTATTCAATTTTGTTTACACAATAATAAATAATCAACCAAATTCATTATCATCATCATTATCAACGTAACTGTTCGCACTTGCATAAATTAATTGTGAACCGATAAAATTAAGTTATTTGAATTCAATTTCAATCTTTCTTCAAAAAGTTGATTCTAATCAATATAATTTATTCAAGCTAATTCGATTCAGTCAAAGGAAAAGCTAAAAACTTTAGTTTGTAAATTATGAATATGGTAACTTCATTATTTTCAAATAAACATGAGTAAATTGGCGGTTTTCTTATTTCCAAGTTGTACTTTCAAATTTTTAATTAATTACTCGATCGAAAAGTTATTTCACTTAGCCATTTCATTTGCTATCTAACAACCTTAAACCTTAGGATATTTTGAAAATGTCATCACTTCTGGTTTAAAATGCAGAAAAAGGTCACTATAAATTAGAATTTACTGAAAATTATTAATTTTATGATGATTCTGAATTGTTCAAATGTCAGAAAGTCCTTTGCAGTGCAGTAAATTTGAGCAGAGAGCCATCACTGACCTTTTCTAAGGTGTCAACATTTATGTCATCCAGTGGAGGTAACTGTCTTCATTCGCCGTAATTTATTAATGTAACATTTGATAAAAAAGCTAAAAGTTAGTAATAATGATGTCATCAGAATTCAAATTGGTTTTAATGACTATGCCAGTATTGTTTCAAATGATATAATTGATAAAAAATACTTCAGATGAATGTGATGATTTGACAATACCTCTTGACTCAATTAATAATGATTTGATTTGTAATGGATGTGGGTTTCAGATCAAAGAAAAACACTTCATGAAGGTTAGAAACGACACTTCTTCACAACTTTTACGTTATAAAATTGATTCCATCATTTTCTGACTAATTTATTACAATTCTGTACTATAATTTATTCATGAATTGCAAACTTTTAGGTAGATGACAGATGTTGGCATGAACATTGTTTAGTGTGCTATAGATGCAGGTTTACATTACATGGTTCAACTTGTTACACTCGTGATGGACAGATTTACTGTAAACAAGACTATAATATGTAAGCTCACTGAATTTCAATTATTTAATTCCAATTTTAAGTAGATGAATTTCTAAATCGCTTGAAAAAAGTGTCTAATATGTGCTATGCCATGATCCAAACCGTTCAACTTAAATCTATCTCTATGTTACTTGATCTAATTTACAAATTGATCTAATCTCTCTCAAGTAATGTTGATTAATTAAGACAATAAAGA